GAGGGTAAGGGGGATAGAGTCCAGGTGCTATCGTTGGTTTGTGATGTGATTAGTTTAACATTGAATGCTAGCGTCTAATAACATGCGCATTAGGTAATGTGCTTAATTTGCGTTAACATTTAAAAACCAACAAATATCAACGGTTTAAAATATATAAATATATATATTTGCTATAACAATCCTTAAAACATAGAATTCAACAGTTAGGGGGGTCTTATGCAGATTCTCAGTCGATGATATATTTAGTAAAATAAATATCCGCCTGCCATGTGATTTGCGACAAAAGCTGGATGAGTTTTTATAACAAATGACTCATGCAACAATGAACAGTAAGTTAATCCACTGCTAAGGACTCTATAATCGTGATGTGTACAAATACTGTGAACCTTGAATAAAGTAATAACGGGCACAATCATTGCAAGAGTATCAAGGTATCGATACCACGTGTCAATTCAATGCACGCAGTTTAACGCTTTTAAAAATGATACGATTAATTACCTTGTTTTTGGAAATGTTTACGGCTTTAAGAAAAATTACTTAATTAACAAAATAAATTGTAAATGTAAAAGTAAATTTATTATATTAAAATGCTTAGTAAAATTTGATGATAAAATGAGATACAAATTAGAATATTAAATTAACGTGCTACAAAACTCGACACCGGTGAATCGGGTACCGATGGGTCCCGCTCAGCATGTTAAGCACCCCCCCCCCCCCACACACACACAGTAAAAACACACACCTCAACGGCGAGTAAATTTTAATATGAAGACTATAGGCCTATGTAATTCTAATATTTTAAAACTAATGTATTTATTAATGAAATGATGACACAAATGTTCAATATGTGAGTTTGAAATGTTGAAAAAGGTTAATTATTTAACATTGAACATTAATTTCGTGTGGTTACCGCCCATTTATTTATTGTGTACACATATTCAAGGGAAGTAACAATTATTACGTTTCCAAACGGTGATAAATAAAATATATTTAGTAATAACTAATAAGCAGAAAGACTTTTCGTAGGTTATAAATCAACTATCATAATTTAAATATGTCATATTAGTTGTATGTGTAAAAATTATATTTCTTTGGAATGTAATATTCAAACCACTTAACTTTTTTTAAAGAAAACTGTTACATTAGGTAAATACTGAAATAATTAAGTACTGAGGGAAACATTCATTATTTGATAGGTAAACTGCTATTAATAGTTCTTTTTCAAGATTACTGATTGATTTAAAAAAAAAAAAAAAGGTTTTTTTAATTTCTTTCGTTTAGAAATACAAACGTCAGTTTGTTAGGGTCTGAAGTAAATTCAATGATTTTTGTATTATATTATATCTGGTCGATTGCACATCTCAATTCGAAACGAGTAATTTAATAAAAAAATAATTTTCAAAGAAAAAAACATTGATTGATTTAAATGTTCAAAACAATTGAATTAATTTAAAAAAAACTGTTTGAGGACTGTTTAGATATAGCTGTTTTAAAGGGCAGAATGTTTGCTTTGATGTGTCTCATTGTAATAATATAACTTTTCCGATTGCTTAAAATTTGTATTATTTTAATTCTCTGTAATCCCAAATTTATTTCAGCTCTACTTAAAAACCCAAATGGTGGTTCATCGGAGCAAGTTGTACCGCCAGTACCTCTACAACAAATTGTACCCCCAGAATCACCAATCAACTGCCGTATGACTGTATGTGTCAACTGTGTTTGGATTGCATATGTTGAGGAGCTTAAGGAGTATTGTAAAAGTGTTGGAGGGGACCCAAAAGATACAATTGATAAAATTACATATCCATCTCTTCGAGCTTTTATTAAGATGGAGCTTAACCTAGTGTGTAGTTTGGGGAGAGTTGTTGAGATTGTTGGGCGCTGGCCTGCTAGTGTGTAGTTTGGGGAGAGTTGTTGAAATTGACTTGGTATTTCAAATGATTTTTTACTTCGAAGTAAGATACAAAGTTGAATAATTTTCATAATGTTATAAAAGGGCACTACATGAAAATAGAAACAACAATAATTATAACTAAATAGTGAAATCATCGATGTGATTTGAGGGGTGGGGACATGGGGTGGGGTAAGAGGGAGGGTAGGGACGAAATGAGATCGTGGGAGCAGGGAGAGGGTGCATGGGGGGCATAGGGGATTGGAGATGGTGCCATGTAGATAGTGGAGGTGGGGTCCTAGTCCCTGGCGAGGCATGAAGGAAGTGCATGTGTAGGTTTATTGTATGGCGATCCAGGCGTCAAAAACAGTGCCATATTATCTACATGCTGAGGTGTTACTATTTATAGCTTGTGTGTTAGTGTGCTATATTCGTCGAGTCTCTGTTACCAATCAAATCTGCATGGTCATGTTTGGCTTTAGAATTCTCTTTTTTTTACGTTTTAACATTGTTCCTTCCAATTAAAAATTTTAGCTGCTAGTTTGCAGTGTTTTAACATATCTCTCTACTAGCAAACATCTGGTGCATCACTCAAGCATAGAAAAAGCAATTATTACCAACACCCGCAGTGAGGTTGCACCTACAACACCCGCAGTGGGGTTGCTCCCACTTCCACTATTCCGTCTAAGGCGAGAGCCGATGAGAGGAGCTACTAAAGCTACGGCTCTGTAGTTTAATGAAACACTTGGCCCAAACCTTCTCAGAGTCAACAACAGTAAATCTAGAACTACCTGAAGAAGAATGTCCAGATCTTATTCAACTGTAGCAGCCTCACCTACAATGCTAGTCCTCATCACATCAAGAGGACAACCAAACCTGCAGGGCCATATAATATGCCAACTCATCAGCAACCAACAAATTCTTCTACTCAACTATGGCAGAGCTGACACATGGTTTTTTCTCCTCAAAAGCCTTGACGTCACCACAATGGACAACACAACAAAAAAAAACCAGACAAAATAAACTGGACCCTTAGATGGGTACCTCCGCAACACGCATACAAGCACTACGCCTAATCAGCAACAAAGAATCATCCATAAGTAGAATCCCACACACTAATAATCGCAGCTTTTCTATCTACACTGACAAACCTTCAATCATCCCATATTACATCAAAATAAATTGCAACAACAAAATACTAAATATCCTCATCGCAATCGCCGGGAGGAGACGGGCGTGTCACCTCTGTTACCCTACTCAACACTGGACAAACCATTGTCAGCTAACACATCCAGACACACCACAGTAGGAAACATAGACAACACTAAACCTCACAGTACCCCTTACAACACGTTACAGCATCAGTACGCCACCAACAGAAACCCGCAACAGCGAAATGATCAGCTCTTCAGAAATGACAACAGTAACAACCCCGATACAAAACAGCATGCAACTATCAGAAACAGCAGTACCATAAGCACTGTTGCAACTACAACGAATTATCAGAAGCGTGAAATGCAACACCCAACTCTTCAGAAACTAACATAAAACCACAGGCAAATATTGATACAGAAATAACATTATTTAAAAGGAAACAAGACATCAGCCAAAATATAACAGAAGACAGGGAAACAAAAACCAAAAAATTGGAAAAATACAGTCACCTCAAAGTTAGTATGCGGATGCTGCTTCTCGCTTTCGGCAACGTCAAAGAACGGAGAAAATATCAACAATAAAAACACGGAACTGAAGCCACCTGCTCATGGTGCGAAATCAAGTTTAAAAGCAGCCAAATAATCAGACATCATGCGAAACTACACACGGACAGCGCTAGTACTGTGAAGTTAGTTGCCAACTACACGATAATCTATTTGAACACACAACAATATACCACCCTCATGAAAACGTCGCTTGCAGATTGTTCTATTTAACACTGGATTCGAACTATTCTCTAAACATTAACTGTGAAAATAAAAACCTCAAATACTTGACAGTGGAATTGGCCAAATTCAAAGTATCATCAGCATCAAATCACTGTCTTTTTCAGTTGTTGTTTTTTTAATACATTTATTTTGAATATTTAAAATAATACATTTTTGTGCAGTTTTATACAGTTTCAAAAACGCGAACAAAAATTGTATATTTAAGTGGAGAAATTAAAAAAAATGGCATAAGAACTAGACTAAAATAGGTTATGCAACTCAGTTTATTTGACTGCTTAGTTTACTGAGCCCACCCAATCTTCAGCTGTGAAGCTAAAAGTTGTCAAATAGGAAGTTGGGTTAAAACGGTCTCTGTAATATTCAAACTCAGATATCGTTGAAAATGTAAAATATATAAATATATACATTTTTTACTGTCTTTCAGACAAATACTAAACACCAAATCAATTTTTCGCAGTTTGTAATAAATTAAATTAATTATCCCAAAATAAAAAGGTTTCTTTTTAAAAATTCTCTCCAGTATTTCTGCATAGAATATTTAAAATTTGTCAGGAACTCTTGAAATATTTGCAAACATAAATATAAGTTCAAACGATGATAGCTGCTATACTTGTTAAACGATATTTAAAACAAGTTTTCGATTATAGGTGTCAGCTTAAAGTTATAGGTGTCATCTTAAAAGTAAGTCACACTTTTTTGTTAATTTTTACCTCCCTTTCTTCCTATCATTACAAGTCACAAAATGACAAAACCCCAATTCTAAATTGACGTAATACTTCAGCATACAAATCCCCCCCTACACTTAAAATTTTCATCTATCAATTTTGTTTAACCCGTTTAATATTGAGTTTATTAATACATTTTTATCATAATTTACAAAAAAAAAAAAACGAAAAAAAAACAACTTTATAAATCGTGAAATAACAGCTAAAATTCAATTTCTAGCATTGGATTTTAAAATTCAAAAGTGTGTCGTCACACTGTCTGAACCTCTACAACCCCCCCCCCCCTCCATTGTCACAAACATTCTGAACCCACCCCCTCCTCTGTAACAGTGTGACGTCGTTTATGGACGCAAAATACACGAAAGCGTAAAAAACAACAACGCAACTTCAACAGCTTCACGGCGAACGTCGTGCCGGCCAACACAACATTCCTGAGTTTAGTACATGAAATACATATACGGTCCCCCTGTGTTTACCTGACGATATACCGGTTTAAATTATCTCAGCGTGTGACACATGACAGGGCGAGCAATACAGGTGAGACTCTAAGCGGACAGAAGAGGTAAGGCGGGACAGGTAAGTGAACTAGTTTGTCTTCTCTTGCAACTGGGCCAATGGTTTTGTTTTTTACTCACAGCTTTACTGTATATATGTATATATATATATATATATATATATATATATATATATATATATATATATATATATATATATATATATATATATATATATATATATATATACATACATATATATAATATATATATATAATACATATATATATATAATACATATATATATATATATATAATACATATATATATATATATATATAATTATATATAATTATATATAATTATATATATATATATATATATATATATATATATATATATATATATATATATATATATATATATAGTTTATATATATATATATATATATATATATATATATATAACATATGTACTATAAATACGTTGATATATACATAAATACTATTTATGCGTATGATATCTATATAATATTATATATATATATATATATATATATATATATATATATATATATATATATACTTTGTATATTTCTTCGCATAGGGACTAAAGTAAACAGCAGTTGTGTTTATTTCGCACCCCGTATGTGTAGGCCTATTGGACTGGGTGAGAGAACAGAGTAATTCCGGCTTAAAGCCTCAATTTAAACAGTACTTTTTTTACTATAGCAACCACCAAACGTAAACTTTTAAACCGGCGAATTGTAAGAACCTAACACGAAGCTTAAGCCCGAAGAGAACCCAAAATTAATCCTTACACTACAGATAAAAGTGCTAAAATCTATTTGTCTATTTGATTAATTTAGTCTTGTGACAAACAAGAAGCGGATCTTCTAGAAATGCAGACCAATGTTTTCAACCTAGGCCTATATGGGAAAGGCCCAGGTGCTTATCCCACCACCCCCCCCCCCCAAGTACAGGTATGAAGAGATCAATTAAGATCCTTTATCCCTCCCCTATTTCAGGTTTGAAGGGGTTCAACTGAGACCCCATATCCCTCCCCTACTAAAGACACTGACCCCGTTTCCTAAAATTGAAAAAAAAAAACGCTCTTTTCTCTGTATTCTATTATACCTGGAAAATTGATAACACACAAAATTGAGTCAACATTTTAAGACGTGTTATCAACCAGGATGTAAACACGTCTTCAATAGTTACATTTGTAGCACAAAATCTAGTAGCATAGAACACTTATCACTACACAACAGTGTGGAGTGTATTTAAAAAATATGTTGTCAAAAACAGGGTTAATTTCACCTATCGGAGGTTATATGCCGATTTTTTTTTTTGTTAGGAAAAATAAGACAAAGCTGAACGAAATTGTTTATTACAGAATAGATATTAAATAACGCAAGGCCGATTTAATATCTAAATCTTTCTCCTTCTTTTTTTTTAACAAATTAAGCTTAATTTTAACTAAATAAATAAATAAAATATATGTTTATTATATATTTATGTGCATGTATATGTATGTATGTATGCATGTATTTGTGTGTATACACATGTCAGAGCTATTTACTGCTTGTGTGTGTTAAATATTCCAAGCCTTACTTTACAGCTACATAAACTCCAGACAAGTATTGTAACTTTAAATTTTATCGAAAAGCAATAAATATTTTTATTTCATAGACATGTCAATGTTAGTGACGTGAAATATGGTTGTGTCCCCTACCTGATAGATAACGAAGTTATGTCCCTTACGCAGCTACTAAAAACAAGGGTGTTGACCTTCTTCACTGTACTGTAGCTTGTGTGAAGTAGTGCTGTTGTGGTGTTTGGGTTTGGTCAGTGGCGTAGGTAGGGACAGGGTGTGTGTGTGTGTTTTAGGGAGAGTATCTGTTTAAAACTAGACATCAATCGGACATCAATTGGACACAACCGGACAAACACCAGATATCAACAGGACATAAACCAGACCTAAACAAGACATAATCCAGACATCAATCAGACATAACAAAGACGAAAACAATACATAAAACAGACATAAACCGGACATAAACCGGACATAAACCAGACATAAACCAGACATAAACCAGACATCAATCAGACATAACAAAGACGAAAACAATACATAAAACAGGCATAAACCGGACATAAACCGGACATAAACCAGACATCAATCAGACATAACAAAGACGAAAACAATACATAAAACAGACATAAACCGGACATAAACCGGACATAAAACAGACATCAATCAGACATAACAAAGACGAAAACAATACATAAAACAGACATAAACCGGACATAAACCGGACATAAACCAGACATAAACCAGACATAAACCAGACATCAATCAGACATAACAAAGACGAAAACAATACATAAAACAGGCATAAACCGGACATAAACCGGACATAAACCAGACATCAATCAGACATAACAAAGACGAAAACAATACATAAAACAGACATAAACCGGACATAAACCGGACATAAAACAGACATCAATCAGACATAACAAAGACGAAAACAATACATAAAACAGACATAAACCGGACATAAACCGGACATAAACAAGACCTAAACAAAACATAAACCAGACATAAACCAGACCTAAACAAAACATAAACCAGACATCAACCCGCCATAAACCGGACATGAACCGGACATAAACAAGACATAAACTAGACATCAACCCGCCATAAACCAGGCATCAACCAGACATCAACCGGACATAAACCGGACACAACCGGACATAAACCAGACCTTAACAAGAAATAAACCTGGCATCAATCAGCCATAAACCGGACATGAACCGGGCATAAACCAGACATCAACCGGACAACCAGACATAAATAAGACATAAACCAGACATAAACCGGACATAAACCAGACATCAACCGGACACAACCGGACACATCCGGATATAAACCAGACCTAAACCAGACATAAACCAGACATCAACCAACATATTGACATTCTTCAGCAAAATGTCATGACTGTGACTCGCAAAGGTCAAAGGTCCTTCAAGTACCGTGATCAAAGCCACGAGCGAGCATCGGGGGTAATCAGTGTAATGGGTGTGACAAAATGTTGTCAGAAGTCGAATATTTAATACCTAACTAATGAACCGTAACTAATTACTGGTGGTGATTAAACGTCACAGTTCATAGGTGTGTGTGTGTGTGTTTGTGTGTGTTTGTGTATTTCGGTTTTTGTTGGTGGTAGTGTGTTTGTATATATGCATGTTTGTATATGTTGAGGGCGTGTTGATGTGCGTGTTTCTGAATGTGTGTATGTGTGAAAATATGTGTGTGTGTATGTGTGTGTTGAAGTGTGGGTCTATGGTGTCATATGATGCATGTCCATTTCAGCCGTTGGAACTACATGTTAGGCGACGCCCTTATGTTGTGCAATAAACATTTTGTGAACATTGTCTTCGCCTTTCGTAACAGCGTATAGTTTTACAGATCTCCACCCCACCCCACCTCTTATATACGCTCCAACTTTACAGGGGGGAAAAAATGGAAACAAGAACCACTGAGATAAAAATAGAAAATAACATTAACAATTGCTAGTTAATCATTGCTAGTTAACCATTGCTAATTAACCATTGCTAGTTAACCATTGCTAGTTAACCATTGTTAGTTAGCGATTTCTAGTTAACCTTTACTAATTCACCATTACTAGTTAAAAATTGCTAATTAAACATTGCTAGTTAACCATTGCTAGCTAACCATTACTAGGTAACCTTTGCTATTTAACCATAGCTTTTTAACTATCGCTAGTTTACCCTTGCTGCCTGTAGTAGCAACAAAAAATGAAAATTATTTATACATAAAATCCTTATCGTCAGGTGATGATATTTACCATTTCGACAATGGTTGCTATGGTAACTGCTTTGTTTTAAAACCAAAGACTGAGAAAATATCCAGTTAAGTTAATACCTCCCGCCCTCTCCCCACCCCTGAACCAATATTCAAGCGTTCTCTAATACTATATTTCAACATTGTGACCTTTGACATGGCGTATCTTGCATTTGGATTTATAAACACAACTTTGTTGTTATTAAACCACGTCGCATATGTGCTGTTATAAAATATGAGGGACACTGTATCAGCATCAGTGAACATAGAAAAGCGTTATAAATAACAAGAGCAAACACTACACCAAGACAAATGTAACCAGTAACCTCACAATTGCAATACCTATATAAAACAAAATCTGCGAAGGTATTAGATAGGATGAGACACATGTTATTTAGGGAAGGTATTAGATAGGATGAGACACTGGTTATTTAGGGAAGGTATTAGATATGATGAGACACATGTTATTTAGGGAAGGTATTAGATAGGATGAGACACATGTTATTTAGGGAAGGTATTAGATAGGATGAGACACATGTTATTTAGGGAAGGTATTAGATAGGATGAGACACATGTTATTTAGGGAAGGTATTAGATAGGATGAGACACATGTTATTTAGTGAAGGTATTAGATAGGATGAGACACATGTTATTTAGTGAAGGTATTAGATAGGATGAGACACATGTTATTTAGGGAAGGTATTAGATAGGATGAGACACATGTTATTTAGGGAAGGTATTAGATAGGATGAGACACATGTTATTTAGGGAAGGTATTAGATAGGATGAGACACATGTTATTAAGCGAAGGTATTAGATAGGATGAGACACATGTTATTTAGGGAAGGTATTAGGTAGGATGAGACACATGTTATTTAGGGAAGGTATTAGATAGGATGAGACACATGTTATTTAGGGAAGGTATTAGATAGGATGAGACACATGTTATTTAGCGAAGGTATTAGATAGGATAAGACACATGTTATTTAGGGAAGGTATTAGATAGGATGAGACACATGTTATTTAGTGAAGGTATTAGATAGGATGAGACACATGTTATTTAGCGAAGGTATTAGATAGGATGAGACACATGTTATTTAGGGAAGGTATTAGATAGGATGAGACACTGGTTATTTAGGGACGCTCTATCCCGTCTAGAACACAGCGTGTTCTCTGTCGTCGTTAATCCATTACGTTGCTGAAACTGATGTAAACAACAGGTTCAGACGTGGACAATAGCGAGAGGTTTAGGAAAACGCGAGGGTTGTAAGATAACAATGGGCTAGATCAAACAATAGACTCACCCAGAAAAATACGACCCGAAGGTTAGGAGACGATGTATGTGATTTACGTGGTTTAGATAAAAGTAGTGAGTGTAAGGTTTATTTTAAAGATAAAATACAAATTGTTGATTTTTTGTTGTTGTCGGAAATATGTGGAACATAGAGTAGAAGTTGTAGCAGTACATACGCTACAGAGTGGGTCGTAATCTTAGACGGAGTAGAGAACGTAGTTGTAGGCCTGCATAGGCTAGAAGAGGGGTCGTAATTGTACCTAGACTAGACCACGCTATTTTAATAATCCGCTCCCCCCCCCCCCCTCCCCTCCTGTTTTCTTGAAGCATGGATATTTTCCAATGTTCTAAATCACATAAATAAAACCTTGTGTTGATCACATAAAAAATAAACCCTTGCATGGATCACATTAAAAATTAAACACGGCATTGAGCGCATAAAAATAAAACCTTGCGTTGATCATATAAAAAATAAATAAATCCTTACATTGATCAAACGTGTGTCCTCAGAGTGTACGTCCTGCAACATGTTGCGTGTGAGCGCTCTGTACGCTGTGCTCAGCACGTGCATCCTACTCACGTTAGCAGACCGTGACTACCAGTCGTGGAGCGAGAACACACATCTAGATAAACCTTTCTCACTCTTATGTAACGACACTGACGTCCAGGTGAGTCGAGGTGACAGGTGGGCAATTAAAAAAATATGTAAACAAACAAAAGGTTTTGCGCTTTACATTATCAGCACCTATTTCAGACCTAACGATTTATAGAAAAGATGAAGTAGAGTTTATGTTTATTGACCTCGTCATTTGAAGGATAGTGTAGTCAGCACTATGTCCAGTCACATTTACTGTCCCCAACATGAGTCAGGTACCATTTAGATCTGGGTGGACTCAAGGACATAATAGAGTCCTGAATCCGTATCAAATTCCGAACTCGAGACCTTCGAACTAGCATCCAAATGCTCTACCATTCGAACACGCAAACCAAAGATCATTACATTAATAGTACTAAATAGAAGATACACTTTCTTGTCACAAAATGTGACTTTAAAAGCATTTAAAATATTGTTGTAAGAAACGTTTTTATATATTTTTATCCTTTTGTGTGATATTTACTAAGGAAAAAGAGTTAGTCCATTATTTTAGTTTCTCACACAGTTGGTAGTCCTTAAAGAGTTGCAACCCCTTTATTTTGATTTATCTACCTGCAAATATTTCAGAAACAGTATTATTTTCTTGTTCAGTAGACAAAGTGGGTCTTAAATATTAGGCATTCACTTATACAATGCTAAATACGGGACCTAACTTATTTTAGTCCTTATTTAAATTAACGTAGTTTATCAGAAAGGGGACATAACCCATAATTTACGGTCATTTATAGATTGCCAAAGGGGATGTAAGTCATTATTTGTGCTCATTTATAGATTAGCAAAGGGAACGTAACCCACTGATTGTGCACAGTTTTCGAATGGCAAAAGGGACGTAACAAATTATTTTTATTGTTTTAGATTGAATCAGGTGATCAGATACTCTGGACACGACTTAACCATGACAGACCTGTGGCCAACGACACGCAGTTTGAGCTTCAGACGACCTTCGGGATCGAAAACATGACCTTGTTCTTCAAGAAGGTCACCGGAAGCCTGGCAGGCATCTACTTCTGCAACATCTACAACGCCAGCGGCTTCGTGAGCAGAATTGTCAGGGGCATCAACGTTGGTGGGCCGCTGTATGACGACTACATTGACAAGGTTAGTTACATGATTGTCAGGGGCATCAACGTTGGTGGGCCGCTGTATGACGACTACATTGACAAGGTTAGTTACATGATTGTCAGGGGCATCAACGTTTGTGGGCCATTGTATGACGACTACATTGACAAGGTTAGTTACATGATTGTCAGGGGCATCAACGTTTGTGGGCCATTGTATGACGACTACATTGACAAGGTTAGTTACATGATTGTCAGGGGCATCAACGTTGGTGGGCCGCTGTATGACGACTACATTGACAAGGTTAGTTACATGATTGTCAGGGGCATCAACGTTGGTGGGCCGTTGTATGACGATTACATTGACAAGGTTAGTTACATGATTGTCAGGGGCATCAACGTTGGTGGGCCGCTGTATGACGACTACATTGACAAGGTTAGTTACATGATTGTCAGGGGCGTCATCGTTGGTGGGTCGTTGTATGACGACTACATTGACAAGGTTAGTTACATGATTGTCAGGGGCATCAACGTTGGTGGGCCGCTGTATGAAGACTACATTGACAAGGTTAGTTACATGATTGTCAGGGGCATCAACGTTGGTGGGCCGTTGTATGACGACTACATTGACAAGGTTAGTTACATGACAAAATTGTCAGGGGCATCAACGTTGGTGGGCCGTTGTATGACGACTACATTGACAAGGTTAGTTACATGATTGTCAGGGGCGTCAACGTTGGTGGGCCGTTGTATGACGACTACATTCACAAAATTAACAACTTTTACTGTTAATTCAGTGGCTTATCTACAAAACAATGCATTTATTGAGGGAAAGCGCCCATTGATTTTTAATTGTATTTAATTATTTTTTTACGTGAGTTTTTTAAGTTATTGGAATAATTCATCTTAGTAATTTCTTTCTTTTTGTCATCTACACTTCTCTTTGTTTACCATAGTTGTTTTATGTTATTTTCAAAAAATAATCGTCGTGAATGAATAACCTTTTTGTGGTTCAACAGCCCAACAAGGATGGATTAGATCCATATAGTCGAAGGCACAATTTTCCCTGGCCATTACCAGCAGAGATTAAACATTAAGCGTTTTCACCAGATTTATCATGTAAAGCAGAGGCGTAGCGACCCCTCCCGGCGCCCGGGGCGAACTTTCAGTTTGGCGCCCCATATATATATATATATATATATATATATATATATATATATATATATATATATATATATATATATATATATATATATATATGTGTGTGTGTGTGTGTGTGTGTGTGTGTGTGTGTGTGTGTGTGTGTGTGTGCAACAGTCCATGACATTCAGATTAGAATTTTAGCGCCGATAAAATGCGTATCAACATTCTAAGTCGATGTGGAATTCAAATGCATTGTCAAAACAATTCAATCAGGATCCATAGCTAAATATGATGTATCTTTTACTGTATGGCTCGGAGCTAGGTTAAAGACAGTGGAGAATGAAAAGCTGGTGGTAAGGGCATAATATGAGAAAGACAGAAAATAACATCACTATGAAGGTGCATGTGTGAAGTCCACGGGGAAAGAGAAAGAGAAAAAGACTAAATAAGTCCTGAAGCAAATCGTATGAAATAGAGATGTGGGAGGCTGGATTATTAGGGTTCTATCTTCGGGAACAGGGCATTTCCCCCTGTCAATTACCCCCCGGACATTTCCCCCCGACATTACCCCCAGAGTAATTACCCCCCCCCTGTCAATTACCCCCCCTGTCAATTACCCCCTGCCGAGTAGGACATTACCCCCGGACAGGGTTAGAGCTAGGGTTAAGGTCAAGGTCAAGGTCAAGGTCAAGGTCAGGGTCAGGGTCAGGGTTAGGGTTAGGGTTAGGGTTAGGGTCAGGGTCAGGGTCAGGGTCAGGGTTAGGGTTAGGGTTAGGGTTAGGGTTAGGGTTAGGGTTAGGGTTAGGGTTAGGGTTAGGGTTAGGGTTAGGGTTAGGGTTAGGGTTAGGGTTAGGGTTAGGGTTAGGGTTAGGGTTAGGGTTAGGGTTAGCGCTAGGGCTAGGGCTAAGGCTAGGGTTAGGGTTAGGGTTAGGGTTAGGGTTAGGGTTAGGTTTAGGGCTAGGGCTAGGGTTAGGTTTAGGGTTAGGGCTAGGTTAGGGTTAGAGCTATTGTTAGGGTTAGTGTTGTGTCTAGCGTTTTTTTTTTGGTTTTGTGTGAGGTTTTAGGCTAAGGTGGATGCTTAGGTTTTGGTCTTTTTCTTAAGGTTTGGATTAAAGTAGTATATAGGTATATATATCGGTATATAGTTACTCAATCAAGGAGGAAAAAAGTTAAATCAGTATGTAAAGGCTCACAGCCGTTACATTTCTTTACTTTGACTGTTTATAATTCAAAACTGCAGCTTAAAATGAGCTTTTAAAATTATTTTCTACCCCTTTTGGCGCCCCCCAAGGGTCGGCGCCCGGGGCGGCCGCCCTCCCCGCCCTCCCCTAGCTACACCTCTGATGTAAAGCAGTTTTTTTTATAAACGTTACATCATTGTTTTCTACTAGCGAGCTATAATAATTTGTCATCCTAAAAACTATACTAAACAACTTATGTGTAATAATTTACTTAGAAAAGGAATTCGAAAAGAATCGACCTAAAAGATCAATACTAACAAAGTTCTAAGCTTGTAGCCCAAGATCGCAGCCAGCTTCTATCATCAAAGGAAACAGTCATCGAATCGATTGGAAAAAAAAACATGTTTATCAAACAAACTTCTATGAATCAAACCTTATCATAATAACACGGCCGGGTAAAAAAAATATGGGGTCGTCCAAACTGACGTCACGCTATGCTAGTAAATTATACCCCCACCTCCTTATAGTCTTATAGCCATAAAGAACTGCCGTATTTCCCTAAATTTACACTATTATGTCCCGCATACACTAAAACATAACGTGTAGCCATGTAGCCTAGGTAGCACTGCAACTCTCGGTAGCCCTGTGAACCTATGGTCTCCGTACAACAATCCAACATTCGTTTTTTACACATAAAAGTCATTTAAAAAAAAAATGCAAAATTATATACCCTGAATTTCCTCACTTCGTACATCTTCATAAAAGTTTGAATATATATCCCCCACAATGTGTGTGGCAGCATTTATTTGCAATTCCTCAATTAAATATATTACATACAATATAGCGCTTTGGCGTTTGTTTTCATTTTAGTGTAAGTATTGCAAGACCTCCCTAAATTTCCAACATCACCACCTCTACACCCGCCAACAATGAGCTTTACAGATTGTGTAAAAAAACACAAATCTCCAGTACTTTTTCTACTTGCAGTATCGCTGGAACATCGTGGTCGGCGTCGTGGCGGCGGCGTGCGTCATGTTCATCATCATCGGCATCGGCGTCGTGGACAACTTCCGGTACCAGTCGCCGGAGCAGAAGGAGAAGCGGAGGGCGAGGCGGAACCACGCCAAACAGCTACACCAGCAACATAACGGCGACGGTGGCAAGCCGGACACGACTGACCACGAGATGACCTACGACACGGCTGACCATGAGATGACCAACAACCACGACAAGACGGGAGACAACCTGGGCTATGAACCGGAAGGAAATACACACCTTTGAGTCTCAAGGTCAAACTAAACTACATTTTAGTATTCACCTATTTTTAAAATTATGTGACTTTTTTATGTTATTTTACATTCATAAATAAAATCAAAATGCCAATCACTGCTTCTATAAATTAAATGAATACTATTTATACTTTTATATTTAAGAAATAAGTTTTAAAGGCTATTCTTAAAGTTAGCACTAATCAAAATAAATGTCTTTATTTATCAACAGAAATTGTTTATATTTTAGCAAACTGTTACTTGATTGTCTATTTCATATAGGCTATTTAATCTAGTCTTGATATACCCCGACATTTTATACAAAATAAACTTATTTTTTAATTTTGGAAATCTTGTTTTCTTATACGCAGTTTTTAGAGCAATTTAAAATGTATTTTTACCGAAAATAAAGAAACGAAAGCTGCAATGCAATTCTCTTTACACAGCAGCTTACTTGAATAAGAAAGCCGTAAACTACAATCAAATTACCCGAGTATTTCTTTTATTCCGATAAATTACTTTGTATTGATTCTTAATAATGTAAATATACATTTGAATAATGTACATTGTGTTCACCATTATAACTGTAACAAGTTATTTTTTTATTACCGACCTGGTTTTCCTTATCGAAATTAAAATGTTTCAAAACCTTAAGTTGCTAGGCAGCGGTAATCTCAGGGATGAAACTGAAACTAACAGAATTGTGACGGTAGTTAAAAGATTCACACACGGATTTTATTATGGCGAGATAGGCTACATGCATTTTTATTAGGAAAAATCGTGACCTTCGAACTTTTTTGTTTTGTTTTTGTGTTGTTGCGGTTATGTTTCGTACTTATCCTGATATCTTATGTGTGAATATAAGCAAAGTAGATTTACTGGTCTCGTTGAAAAAAGTATGAAGTTCATATCTCGATGATGCAAATATTAACAGAAAACATACAACATAATATGGTTTGCAAAAAATAAATACATAACACACAAAAATTAACTACAAATACGAGTTCAATGAAGTGTTTAATTTGAGAATTAATAATTTTTCATTATATATTTTCTGCGTAGCTAATGAAATATTAGAGATTTTCTGGAGTGAGAAAGTATAACTTCAACCTCGCGAATTGGAGCAGTTCTTTATTACAAACAACACGATTGGTATTGGCAGTGTGTACATCAGATGCTGATCTTGTTTGGGATCGTGTGGACACCACTGTAGAAATCATCTCTTTTTTATGTCAGTTTTGTTGACAACATTAGTTGACGTCAGCACATTTTGATATCGATGCCATCCTTTTTCATTTGAAATAGAGATTACAGATTATGACGTCATCACAAGTTGATGGCGACGTCATAACTCGGTGATGCCGTCGTCGAGACTATTGTTCAATCCGTGGCATGATGATGTGGATATAATGTTCACGCCATCACGTACCGACTACGTACGTGATTATCAAATGTCGTCACATTTGATAGCAGCGTCATCGCAACTAAAATTTGACGTCATCACATTCCAACGCCAACGTCATCAAATCGTGCCGCTGACGTCATCACATTTTGACGCTGATATCCCCGCCCCCGTTCTCCACATGCACCTCCACGCTCAGCATCTCTCCATCCTCCGCGTACGCCTGGTTGCTGTGTTCCAGAAACTTCTCCTTAGTCACCTCCCCGACTTCCCCCTCATCCTCCCCTTCCCCCTCATCCTTCTCGTCAGACCTCCGACTGTTCCTCACATTCCAGATCAGACACCCCCCGCCCACGATTAACAACATGGCTGCGGCTGCGCTGCCTCCGATGATGGCGTTGGTCTGGTACGTCTCCATCAGATCCGTGAAATCCGCGCCGTTGACGTTAAGACCCCAACGCACGACCGACGGTGTTTTACCCGGCGTTGTGTACACCACAACGCACGTGTAGAAGCCGAAAGACGGGTCGTCGACCTGCAGAGCTGTCAGGTTGTACGTCGAGAACACGGGTTCGAATCCCGTCGGGGTGAAAACGTACATGCTGGGGTTCAAAACGGTGTCTGCTCCCACGAGAGCGCCATCTGGCAGTACCCAGCTGATGGAGGCGATGTCGTCTGACAGGGTCAAGTTCAAGGACGGGTGGTCGCAGGTCATGCTGGCATCGGTAAAGTACCGGACGCTCAGGTCGAAGGTGTGTCTGACCGGAAGTTCTGAGAGCGCGAGGTGGATCAAGGTCGCGAAGAAGTAGGTCAAGGTCAGGGCTGCCGTTGATGAAAACCTGAAGGCCGGTGCCATTGTGGTCGTCTGCTCATCCACGACTTGGCACAGCTGTGGAAGATGACGTCATAACGTTTCTTTCAAAATTACTCGAGTAGTTGGATACAAAGGTAAACGTATTAAAATTAGAAAGACTTTAACTGTAAAAAAATGTAAACAGCTTAATGATAGAATACAGATGTAAAGTAAATAATGAAATAAAGTAGGACCTCAGTTTGATATACAGTACTCTGAAATATAGTGTACTTAATGATATGCAATATGATCGCATAGTGTTATATACTGAAGAGTAGGTAAAAAGAAAATATTTAAAAAAACACAGACACATTTTAGCACTTAATTTTACCTTAGGCTACATGTAAGAATTCAACATTTGACATTGTGTAAGGAACCTTAGCTTATGGAGGCAGGTGTTTAGTGTGTTGAAACACGCACGTATGTTAAATACACTTGATGCATGTAGGTTACTTATTGATCTGAAGCCTTCGTCGGAATAATTCAACTAGAATGGCGGTTTATTTACATAAAGGTAACAACATTTTTACAAATTAGCACAGTGTTCTCTGCTTAATTGTGAATTTTTTTTTTTTTTTGGAGTGGTGAGAATGTACAACTTTTTACTCTGGAAGAAAAAAAATTAGAAGTTTTTAAATTAAAAGTGAAAGTAGATCTATTAATTTTTAAACCCTTGCATCTTCGAAACAAATCTATTCAAGTTTAAAATGTAAAGTTATAGATTACATTTTGGCAAATTGACACATCTTACTTTTTGGTATTGATCGAGGATTAGTTACATAATTACATAGACGTAAACATAAACTTTACCTGGACAAGCGAGTTAAACGCTCAATCAAATGAACGTGCAAGAATACTAATAAATTGCTTAAATGTAAACACAAATTACTTACAAGGATACAATATTAGTGTGATCCACTTCAATCTGTGAAATGAAAAACAACAACAGTAAAGGACATTGAAAGAATAGAATATCATATCTTATACAAGTGTTATTGAGAGTGCATGTTGAGCTATTCATGTGTTGTCTGGTGTCGTGTGTCCAGGTGTTTTGTCATTCTGTCAAAACAACACGGCTGAGAGTAATGTGTGTCACTCAAGACAGGTACAATGTGGAGACACTCGCATTGTAAACTGCTGGCTTAGAGGGCTACAGGTGTACGGAGGCCACTATGTAATTGGGCTAAATAGGGCTAATGAATGGGTCGCATTGCTATATAGACACGTGTTTATGACATATATCAACAGGCTAAAATGTAAATATACCACACGTATGAGAGCATAATAATATATACGACATAGATATACGATATATATATATGCCTACATATATATATATATATATATATATATATATATATATATATATATATATATATATATATATATATATATATATATATATATATATATATATATATATATATATATATATATATATATATATATATATATATATATATATATATATATATATATATATATATATATATATATATATATATATATATATATATATATATATATATATATATATATATATATATATATATATGTATATATATATATATATATGTATATGTATATATATATATATATATATATATATATATATATATATATATATATATATATATATATATATATATATATATATATATATATATATATATATGACATAATTGGACATATATAAAAAACAAACATAAATAAAATTTTCCCATACTTACAGTTTCTCGCCAAAGCAAAGTTCTGTTTTTAATCTAGCCTACAACTAACACATACTGAACATGGACACGGAATGTCAACAGAAGACGTTGAACCATACGCTAACACGAGATAACTGGTAAGATAACAGTCACAGGTGAGAGACGTGAGAGTGGCTAATGGTGAGGTAAGTCTCGGTTCAAGTTAGGCATTGGTCACACGGTTTTACAATACATGATGGGCTATCTTGAGCGTGGGGTTGCATACATTAACGCTAACTGTCCCTTTCACATTTTCAGGAGATCCATGAAAAATTTGATGAAATTGGGAAATTATGTAAATGTTGACCTTTTTTGCAATGTAGCTACAACTGAGAAATACAGACACACATATATGTATATATGTGTGTGTGTGTGTGTGTGTGTGTGTGTGTGTGTGTGTGTGTGTGTGTGTGTGTGTGTGTGTGTGTGTGTGTGTGTGTGTGTGTGTGTGTGTGTGTGTGTGTGTGTGTGTGTGTGTGTGTGTGTGTGTGTGTGTGTGTGTGTGTGTGTGTGTGTGTGTGTGTGTGTGTGTGTGTGTGTGTGTGTGTGTGTGTGTGTGTGTGTGTGTGTGTGTGTGTGTGTGTGTGTGTGTGTGTGTGTGTGTGTGTGTGTGTGTGTGTGTGTGTGTGTGTGTGTGTGTGTGTGTGTGTGTGTGTGTGTGTGTGTGTGTGTGTGTGTGTGTGTGTGTGTGTGTGTGTGTGTGTGTGTGTGTGTGTGTGTGTGTGTGTGTGTGTGTGTGTGTGTGTGTGTGTGTGTGTGTGTGTGTGTGTGTGTGTGTGTGTGTGTGTGTGTGTGTGTGTGTGTGTGTGTGTGTGTGTGTGTGTGTGTGTGTGTGTGTGTGTGTGTGTGTGTGTGTGTGTGTGTGTGTGTGTGTGTGTGTGTGTGTGTGTGTGTGTGTGTGTGTGTGTGTGTGTGTGTGTGTGTGTGTGTGTGTGTGTGTGTGTGTGTGTGTGTGTGTGTGTGTGTGTGTGTGTGTGTGTGTGTGTGTGTGTGTGTGTGTGTGTGTGTGTGTGTGTGTGTGTGTGTGTGTGTGTGTGTGTGTGTGTGTGTGTGTGTGTGTGTGTGTGTGTGTGTGTGTGTGTGTGTGTGTGTGTGTGTGTGTGTGTGTGTGTGTGTGTGTGTGTGTGTGTGTGTGTGTGTGTGTGTGTGTGTGTGTGTGTGTGTGTGTGTGTGTGTGTGTGTGTGTGTGTGTGTGTGTGTGTGTGTGTGTGTGTGTGTGTGTGTGTGTGTGTGTGTGTGTGTGTGTGTGTGTGTGTGTGTGTGTGTGTGTGTGTGTGTGTGTGTGTGTGTGTGTGTGTGTGTGTGTGTGTGTGTGTGTGTGTGTGTGTGTGTGTGTGTGTGTGTGTGTGTGTGTGTGTGTGTGTGTGTGTGTGTGTGTGTGTGTGTGTGTGTGTGTGTGTGTGTGTGTGTGTGTGTGTGTGTGTGTGTGTGTGTGTGTGTGTGTGTGTGTGTGTGTGTGTGTGTGTGTGTGTGTGTGTGTGTGTGTGTGTGTGTGTGTTACAGTTGAGTTATCGCACCCTTTCTAAAAATAGATTGGTGAAAGCTATTGTACTATTGTACACACTAAAACATAACCAGACTAAATAAATATCTCACCACGGAGTTTGTTATTCTTCCATTGTTCACTACAAGGAACAAAAATAAAAACTTGCTATTAAAAACACATTCATGTTAAAGAATGCGCTAAAGATATTGATTAGGGAGTTAAAGAAGGGCAGTTAGAAGATTAGTTTTTGTTAACATTTCTTTGAATGCTGATATGTGGTTCTTTTCTATTATTACCTTCAGAATACGTGACTCTAATAAAAGATTGTTAAAAACGTACACCCTATAATTGTTTTACAATAGTTTCTATAGTGTAAAATATCCAAATCGAAATTAAAGTTTTTGAGAGACTCGTGTAGTATTTAAAAAGAAAACGATTTACAAAACGGTTGTTTCGTTATTTTTTTTTACCCAATCCCTAATTTTATCTACATATATTTTTATGTATATTTTGATCAAAGTTCTAAATAATATGTAGTTACTAATGTAAATATGTGGATGTGTTTCCGCTTTTGGAACGATTTTTGAGACTCCTGTGAAAGTACAAGTTTTTGTAACTGTATAACGTTATTTCGAGGCAAGCTTTCTATCAAAATATTTACTTAACGTTTCGTGTCTCACTCATGCCAGTTGTCCTTTCACGGCGTGCGTGATGTTTTTCTAACTGCAGTTAAAAGAAAAAAGTTAACCTTTGGTAAAATCTCATTTCTTACCTCCCATATTCTTGTCTCCCTTTGTGACCTACATCGTTGTGCTTATTACTGTCTGTTTTTAATGGGTTTTTAAAATTAATTCAAAATTAATTATTTAAAAAAAATGATGTTCAAATTTAAAAGAATGATAATTGTGAACGACTACTTCCTTTCCTTTAGTTTTCTGCGGTCATGGCATAATTTATTCCAGGTCTCCTTCTTAACCTGGTAAAAAGAAAATATATCGTATACAAAATTAAAAAAGCAGAATAAAAATAAATCGCAGGCCTATACAAAAATAAAAAGGCAGAAGAAAAATATATCGAAGACCTAGATCTATACAAAATTAAAAAGGCAGATTAAAAACATATCGTAGGCCTATAAAAAATTAAAAAGACAGACTAAAAATATATCGTAGGCCTATACAAAATAAACAAGGCAGATTAAAAATATATCGTAGGCCTAAACAAAATTAAAAAGACAATAAAAATATATCGTAGGCCTATACACAAGTAAAAAGGCAGAACTACTACAATACGCTTACACAATGGGCTTACATTCGCAGCAGATATCAGATATATTATTTACAACCTGCCGATATATATGTTGAGAATTAATTAATTCTTTACACTGTCAAGTATTGATTAATTGCGCAGTTTTGAAATCATAAGCTCCTTAATAACTCAAAAGGAAATTTCCAGTGGGTTATTTATAGAAATTCTATATTTAACTTCGTTTAAAAACATTTTGTTGTTGTGTTATAAACTTACAAAACATAAGAACTGTATGATTATTCTTCAATGCATAAACGTATTAGTGCTGTGTAGCTTAGTCCGTTTAAATGTATGCTTTGGTTTGTGGTTGGTGGGTTGATTGGGGGAAAGAGGGGAGGGAGCGATCTTTATTTTAAGTAAACTTTGGCCATCATATTTCACTGTACTTAACATTTTGGCCACCCATATTTTACTGTACCTATACTTTTGGCCCCCAATATTTTACTGTACCTAAACTTTTGGCCACCCATATTTCACTGTACTTAAACTTTTGGCCACTCATATTTCACTGTACCTAAACTTTTGGCCACTCATATTTTACTGTTCCTAAACTTTTGACCACCCATATTTTACTGTACCTAAACTTTTGGCCACCCATATTTCACTGTACCTAAACTTTTGGCCACCCATATTTTACTGTACCTAAACTTTTGGCCACTCGAATCTCCCCCAAAGTATTCTGTATCAGTGAAACATTAGGATATGTATTTTGTATTTCTGTATCACATAAGACGGACAAGATAGCGTTGTGTACACACACACACACACACACACACACACACACACACACGCACACACGCACGCACGCACCTACACCCAGCCACACACACACACAAAAGTCGGACAAGATAGCGCTGTGTACACAACGTTATCTAACAAACTTAGGTCTCAAAACACTTGATGTGTGGCATATTGAACACACAACACGCTTGGTATAGATAACACACTAGACAGGTAACATACGAGATATGTAACATACACAGGTGACACATTACACAAATAACACACAACTCGGGGGACACACGACACATGTGACACACAACACAGGTAACACACAGAGATGACACACACAGGTGACACATGACACAGGTAACACACACCGGTGACACATGACACAGGTAACACACATAGGTAACACACGACACAGGTAACATACAGAGGTGACACACACAGTTGACACACACAGGATATACAAGACAGGTGACACAAGACACCGGTGACATACGACAAAGGTAACACACTGCACAGGTAGAAAAACTGTGACAAATGACACGAACATTTTCCAACACGGATCTAAGGTAGTGTTCTCACCCCCCCCCCCACACACACACATACACATACACACCCACACACTCGTAACTCAACTCTCCAGAGAAAAACAGAAATGAAACCTATCCAACACTACTTTCCTGGGTCCATTCATTTTTCCCCTTCTCTAAGCGAAGAAATTTGTACAATCCGGTTTTATCATGTTTACCTCCCTTTACATGAAACTTTCAGCTTGATCACATTATACAGGCTCTCTAATCCGTAGGACGTCCCTGGTTCCACACCTAGCTCAGATGGGCGTTATGCAGTGTGCTGACCACACTATCCCTTCATATGGCAAGGTCCCAGGGAGTAGGCAAACTCTACTGACCGCCAAGAACATTGTGTATGACGTGTATTCCATTTATATAACAAGCAAAAACTATTTAATCGAGGATGGTTTTTTTTTTCATGTCTATTTCTAAAGTAAACCAAAACAGAATTTTCTAAAAAAAAAATGGTGTACTTAAATTTCATCTTAAAGGTAGTATTTGAAGCGAAATTATCTATATTATGTATTTAATCAATATATCTTTTTTTTAAAATAGTCTTCAAAATCTTAAGATTTAATGAGTATTATTCAAAAGTAATAAAAAGTATTAAAATAAACATTACGTAAATACAAAAAGATTCGCCCGATAAGGGACTTGAACCCTTGACCCTCAGATTAAAAGTCTGATGCTCTACCGACTGAGCTAACCGGGCAGCTTGCTACATTGAGTCAATGAACGAAGTAGTACTGAGAGCGATTTAAAAAAAATTCCATAAAACTAGGTCATTTCATGTTGCGCGCGCACCTCCAATCTAGTTTACACTCTTGAGCTTGTTGACAAGTTCCTCATGAAAATTTGATTTAAAGTAAAATATACAGATCTAAATCTAGTTTAACTAAGAGTCTAAGACATTTGGTTCTAAAAGTTTAAAGAAATAAAAGAAATATCTAAACATGTATGCAATTTTAAACTTCAATATTTGTCTTTTCTGGAGGTTATAAATATCTATATATATAAAAAGCAATGTATGTTTGTTTGTTTGTTTGTTTGTTTGTCCTTTATGCATTACTACACCTCTCATCACATCGCCGTGAAACTTTGGGAAGTTGTTGAGAATATTCCTGGGGAGGTTTCTGCGAAAACAAAAATTTCAAATTCGCAGGGGTGGCGCCCCGGTAGGGCGCGATTTGTTTTTCTCTATATACCGTATATAAAAATAAAAAGTTGATTTTGGTTTGACATCGTTCATCTGC